AGTTGAGATTGAAGTATCTTTGGATTTGGATTGTGATAATTAAAATTGTTATGACCAAAGATGATATTTTTTGTGGGAAAAGGCTATTCTAGAAGTAGTTATGTCATTAGTGTTAGTACGTTATTTTCTGTTGCTATTTTCCATCTTTTAATTTTTCTTTTCTTTACGGTGTCATATTCCATACTTAGTATTGTTTCACCGCTATGATTTTAATTTTGGTTGAGTCTAATTGTGATTGTTAAAAATTCATAATTGTACTGAAGCTTGTTTAATTTGGTGTGCATAGTATAATGAGAATTTACCACGTTGGTATATATGCCCCCAATGCCCATTTGACTTTAATTATAGAAGTAATTGCCTAATTGGATGGTCTTATTTTTAATTCGTAAGGTGCGTTTTGGCATGTGTGCTGGTATTTTGTATCTGCATGCAATTACGGACTTTTGTTGAGAATTACTCATTTGCTCTGTAATAAATTGTACGGATTTAGATGTTTTAGAGACTATGATTTAGATTAGAACGCATGCATGGTATTTTCTAGTTTTGACATGCATGTATTTGATGGATTGATCTTGTACCTATAGCTTCTTTGCCTAACTATAGTAATATGTTAGAGTTATGGGGTGTTGGTAAATTATACTCCGGTATTTGAATAAGTGAATAGTTTATTTAAAGTGATCTATATTTACATATCCGGACGTGTATGCTAATTTCTGTGATTTCATTCTCATGCTGCGTGAAATGCTTTATTACTCGTGTGTTTTTGTATAAATAAAATCATGTCTTGAATGTGGTTTATTTTAGGTATATGCCTCACGAGATTTAGTCATGGTCTTTGCACCAACCTTTAAATATTTAAAATGTGGGGTTTGTATTGTATTTGGCTTCATTCTAGGTGTACTGAGATTCTAAATGTGGGGGTCGGTTACTCCGACTAATTTCAAGACCTTTGCCATTATTTGTGGTTACTAATATATGATTTTCTCATTTTGAATAAATAGTGTGTAATAATTTAAGCTACATGATTGTTGAGATTAATGTGACAAATTTTTGAAAAATGTGTACACACTAAATGATGAATGAGTGATTATTTGTTGCTGGAATTTTATTCAAATGTTGAGTGAATTGTATGATATTCACATGACCTTTCTCCCGTTTTAAAAATCATGGAGTGATTATGGATGATTATTTGGTTTATTGCCTTAGGGTGCTTTAGTGATGGTATTTGCATCTAATTATATACTCCGTATATATTCAAAATATGGGGTAATGTTTAGTTGTGTTCTTTTACCTTTTGAGAAGGTAATAAGATGTACTGAGTTGAATGTCGCACAAGTAATATAGATTTTCAAATTGGAGAAATAATTTTAATGTTTGTTATGAATTGTAAAATATAATTGTGAGTTTGTTAAAAATAAAAAAATGTGTGAAACCCGACTCATGTCGAAAGATTGAGCAAAATTGTGAAAACACAAAGTGTATTTGGTGAGCTAAACCATTGTATCAAAGAGATACAATGATGTAATATTTTATTGAGAATTATCCATTGTGTTTTAATGATACAATGATGTTATATACTGTATGTCTTATAAAGTTTTTCCGTTGTACTATAAGGGTACAACGATGACACATTTTATCGAGAATTATCCGTAGTACTTGAGTGATACAACGATGTTATATTTGAGTGTTATCCATTGTACTATAATGGTATAATGATGTTATAGATTATATTGAGAATTATCTGTTAGGATATAACATATTAGTGAAATTATCCGATGTACAAAAGTGTCACATCGATGCTATATCTTGTTGAGAATTATCCATTGTATAGCCGGGATATAACGACGCCATCTGAGTCGACCCACATGAGATAGTATAATATAGTAGTTATCCATTCACCATGAAAAAATGGTGCACTGATGTTTGAGAAATATAAATTGTCTAAATGATGACTTTGAAGAATGGAATTATCTCCATTAATTATGTGAAGTTAGAAGGAATTAGCTACTCCTTTGACAGAATCCCTAGGACGTTAAATGATTAAGTTAAACATTGAGGGAAATGGATTAATGTCACTTTGACAACAAATAGGGATGGGAACCCAACTTGTGTGATTGAAGATCCCATGAAGCAAGTTCATATGGGTAATAAAAAGTCTTCTATTTGTTCTGCTGGCCTTGTAAAATGTCCATTTCTATGGTGTGGAAGGCTAGACTGCATTTCTTTGTGAGGTTGAGCTAAAACTCTTAATGATTGTCGTAGCCCTTACGGGTGGTGTGTTAAGTACGGGACACATTTGATGATGTCACCTATATGAGTGAGAGGTGGGGCCGCCTCCATGAAGCATTGACGACACTTCTAGAGCACTCAAGAAAACCAGGCACGCGCATGGCCGAAAGGCGCACCACGGCGTTAACGCGAGGAATTGTGGGGGTGAGACATGATCATTAAGACCCTGATTTACCATAGTAGCTTCTTGGTTCATAGAAACTATATATGTTTCACCAAAAGCTCGGTTTATAAAGACTTAATCATCTCGGTTTGGTTCATAGTCTACGGACACCAGATTTAAAGTCTCATTCCCATTAATCCAGCAGATTATCAAATTATTTTTACTCTTAAATGTTTATTTGAAATATGTGGGGGATTGTTGGAAATTTTCAAAGTATTTCAAATAAAAAATTAATTTTAATAAATGATTTGGCTCAAAAATAACCGAAAGCTTTTTACTAATTTATTTTGTTGAACGCTTGGAGCTTAAAGTAACGTTACTAGAGCTTTAATGACTATTTTAATGATTGCACATTACTTGGCTCTCCCCTTTTTTCTCCATTTTAATAGGATCATCAACAACTTCATTTTATAGATAATATGCATGCTTCAGCTCTTTGGGTATGGGTTACGTTAAAACACTTTGGGGACCAGCAAGAGTATATGTAATACCACATATAATTTGCCAAGAAAAACTTTTAGGACATGTTTACTTCACCGGTTATTAAACGGTGCTTATTAAGACCCGTGTTAATAAGCGGCGCATAAAATAAACAATGTTGTAAGACCGTGTTTACTTCAAACGGTTTAAAACACCGCTTAACATTAAAATGTCCAAAATAACCCTATACATATATATACACACAAACATTCATGAACACAAATATATAATATAATATGTGTACCCATACCCCTAACCCCTTACCCACTCTACCTTACCCCGACCCCACCCACCGTCTACCCCCTACCCCTACCCTACCTACCTGACCCCATACCCGAACCTACCCCTACCCAACCCCACCCTACACTTACCCCACCCTAACCCGTCCCCACCCTACCGCAACCCTACCCCCGACCCCTACCCCCATAGGCCCTTACCACATCGACCCCACCCTGACCCCACCTTACCCCAACCCCGCCCCTACCCCTACCCTACCTACCCGATCCCACCCCCCACCCGACCCACCCTACCCCTACCCCTACCCCACCACACCTACCTTGTCCCTGGCGCCTCTATCACATCGGCCCCACCCTGACCCCACCACCCTAGGTATAGAGTGGGGTAAGGGGTGGGGTAAGGGGTATAGGGTGGGGTGGGGTGGTAGGTGGGGTAAGGGTATGGTGGGGTGATTGAGGTCGGGTAGTGGTAGGGTGTGTCGGGTAGGTAGGGTAGGGGTGGGTAGGTAGTGGTAGGGTGGGTTTGGGTAGGTAGGGTGGGGGTTGAGGCGGGGGTAGGGGGGTAGTAGGGTGGGTTCGGATAGGGTAGGGTGGGGGTCGGGTAGGTGGGTAAGGGGTGGGGTAGGTAGGGTAAGGGTAGGTGTGTGGTTCGGTAAGTAGGGTAGGGGTGGGATCGGGTAGGTAGGGTAGTGGTAGGGTGGGGTCTAGTAGGGGTAGGATGGGGTAGGGTTGGGTCAGGGTAGGGTAGGGGTAAGGTGGGGTCGGGTAGGGGTATGGTAGGTGGGGTAAGGGTAGGGGTGGGGTAAGGGTAGGGTGGGGGTCGGTTAGGTGGGGTGGGTAGGGTGGGGTCGGGTAATGGGGTAGGGTCAGGGTAGGGTAGGGGTAAGGTGGGGTACGTGTAGGTTGGGGTCGGATAGGTAAGGTAGGGGTAGGGTGGGGTCGGGTAGGTCGGGGGTAGGGTGGGGGGTCGGTTAGGTAGGGTGGGGTCGGGGTGGGGTAGGGTAGGTGGGGTAAGGGTAGGGCGGGGTGGGGGCGGGGTAGGTGGGGTAAGGGTAGGGTGGGGTCGGGGTAGGTGGGGTTGGGGTCGAGGTGGGGCAGGGGTAACAATAGGGTAAGGGCAAGGGGTAAATTCAGAAACTGAAAAAGCTTAAAGTGCCGCTTAATTAATACATGGGGGAGTGGTATGCTTAATAAGCGGCACTTTAAGCACCTCTTTCGGTTAGTAAGCGACTTTTTAAGCAGTGTGCGTGTTTACTTCACCTGTCTTACTAACCTAACTGTGACTTTAGCAGTGAAGTAAACACCTCCTTAGTCTTAACTCTGCTGGATTACATACAAATTTTTCTATCCTCGTAGTTCGGTGTCCGGCTACTTGCCGAAGGGGAAAGATTTCCGTCCACCGGAAATACTTTCTGAGGACAGCGACAACGCGTCTCGAGCCATAGTATTCCTTGTTATTGTTTTTTGCAGAATCAGACAAGCTGCGATGCGAGAAGAGAAGAAGACAACAACTTCGAGTTATCATGTAGCCACAAATTATCGAAGATATTGGAAGAAGCATTTTACCGGAGTGCTATATGTCTGTCGGCCTGATTTGGACTTCTGGCAGAAGGTGGCGATATTTCCCCATCACTTGTATCAAAGGATTCGAAAACTCAAAGTCAATGAAGTTTGATAACAAGTTAAAAATGAAACAATAATGAAATTGGTTGGGACTCAAGAGAATATTTTTTTTTTAACAACAAACTCAAGTCTTTTTGCAAAATTTGATTCAAAGATACAAAAGAAGACAACTTCAAAATATTGATAACAATATAATGAAAAAAACCAAGCCTTGTATCCCCTGCTGTTTCTTTTACCCCTAGCCCTCTCAAACTTTCTTCCCTTAGCACGCACATATGGCTTGGTGTGACTGTGAGGAACACCAGGAGCAGGACCAAAGTGTTTCACTGCTTCACGTGAGTTCTTTGGACCTCTGAGTAGAAGCGTGTTCTGCCCTTATGGAGCCCTAAGAGCCAATTGGTCAAAAGTCAGGCATTCTCCGCCAGCTTTCTCAATCCTTGCCCTTGCAGTTTTGGTGAACCTCAATGCACAAACTTTGATAGCTGGGACTTCATAGGCCCTGATATCATCTGTAATGGTGCCCACCAAAACAGCAATCTTACCTTCCTTTCCTGACATGAAAGAGATCAGCCTGGAGAGGGACAATGGAGGCTTGTTTATCTTGCTCATGAAGAGGCGCTTCAGAATCACGGCATTGAACTTGCTACCTGTTCTTCGCACCAAAAATCGGTAGAGCTTGACAAGAAGCTTTAAGTAAACATCATCGGATTTCGGCGATGTCCGCTTGGTCTTCTTGCTCTTTCCTCCTGCTTCCAGATCGATACCCATGGCTGAGCTCCGCTGAAATACCTTCTGTGGCCAAGGTGGGAGCTTGGGACTCAGGAGAATATATATTAATAAATGCGCACCAAAATTAAGGTGAGGTGTACTATTATATACTTGCCTTTAAAACCCTTGTTTTCTCATATTTCTCTTCATTTTGCTCTTCCAAGGAACTGCTAGCAGCTAGAAAAACATATTTGAACTCATTTTAAAACAAAATATATTGTGACATGCATATTCTGTCTCCATCTAAAATTACAAAAAGTAATTTTCGTGTTTAAACTGCCTACTTAACACAAAAAGAAATATATGTTGTATTACAGTCCCTAGTGAATTACAGTCCTTAAATATTTGCTTCTCGCCCTTTAAGATAACTTTTTTAAAGTATTGCCTACTTAATCATTTAGGAAGTGACTATAAGTGTTAAGTATTACAATCACCTAAATATTACAGTTCGTAAGTGATTTCCTACAATCACTTAGCCATACGTAGAGACTAATTTCGGTAAATTTTCATAATAATGCCTGCTACTAATTTTGGTTAGTTTTCATACAAGTTTTCAACTAACAAGGAATAAAAAAACAGGACTTCACAAAAGAAGTAGCAGTAAGAACAATTCTACAACAACGCATAATGAAGCAAAAAATATAAAAGGAGCAATTGTTATTTTATTCTTATTGGCCTGATCGTACTGCCACCCATGCAAAAGGCCGAAGGTAATATATACGACTTTGTCATTAATCAAAAATAAGGAAATAATCCCTCCGTATCACTTATATCTTCCTACTTTCCTTTTTTAACTGTAACATTCATATCTTCCCATTTATAAATACGGAAATAAATAAATACCCTCAAGTATTTATTTATTCTACCCTCAAGTATTTATTTATTCTACCCTCAAGTATAGCCTTTGTAATTCCCATGGTACCCTTACTTTCGAATTTGAAATCAGAATATGGTCAAATAGCCACGGAAACCCTACCCCAAGTCCAAAATGAATGTTAGGCTACTTGTTTCCCGACTTTGTCTCTCACCTCTAACCTATTCCGCCTCCATAAAACAAATTCTGGCAACGTCTTCAGCCTCCGACCTCAACAATTCAACCTTCCATGGAGTCTGAAAATTAAAGAATGAGATCACTACTCCCTCTGATGCTAGCGTCGCCCCTTAGAGGAGGTCCTAAATAAATCCATCGGAGATTCCCTTCATTCTACGGAATCGACTTCATTTACCCCTCTGGTTTCCGATGCCATTGATTTTCTCTCTGATTCTGAAAGTTTTCCTTCCCGGAGTGGTACCTTTCTCCATCTGACACTGATGACACCGACCCGACTTGGAAGTGGAGGAAGCGTTACGAAGGGGTGATTGTCCTTGACAGTGACGATGGCTTTGAGGGCCTTGATGACATGTGGATGGAGGTCTCTTCCAAGAGGGCAGCGACGCCAACACTTGTCTCTATTGTTAACGATGATGAAGGAATGTTGTAGTGAAGTTCTTATTACTTTAATTCATTTCACTATGGTTCGATAACTGCATGTTTTACTTTTCCATTTAAGCAATGCTTTGTGTTGCTTCTGCTTGAGAAATAATTTTTTATTTCCCTTGATGAAGTATTGTGTGCTCCAGATTGATGTTATAGCTTTGAATAATTATTATGATCAGTAAATGTTGTGAAGAAAGTGTTTTGCTATGAGTTGTGATGTGTGTTTGTCTTGTGTGACAATGTAATTCTTATGATGAAGCTGTTTAGAAGCCTCACTGTAAACTTTCAATGATATGATGCCTATTATGGCTGAGTTATTTCATGCTTTGTTTGTGATGATTGATTTCTGAGATAAGTGTAACCATTTAATGTACTCACATTGATGAAACTAATTTCATGGCTAATTTTACTCTTTCAATGGTATGACACTTATTTAGGCTTGCCGCTCTCATGACATCCCTGTGATGAATAAAATCTGAGGGCTTAAGTATAACATTTGAAGTATTTGATGTTTGTATGCCTGTAATACTTGAGAATTAATATAAACGGATTAATAGTACTACTCATACCAACAAGATGCAACTCCTTTTAAGGGAGTTCATCACCAAGAACTTCAAAGTTAAGCGTGCTTGCACGGGAGTAGTCTTGGGATGGGTGACCCCCTAGGAAGTTTCTCAGGGCGCGCACGAGTGAGGACAAAGTGCGCGGAAAAGGCTAGTGGCGGTTTCTGAGGACAGTACTAGAGGTCTAGAGGGTGTGTAGGAGACCTCGGGTCCTGCGGGGACGGGGTGTTTCAATGCCCTTAGTTTATTATTGTGAAGAAACTATTTTGAGGCATAACTGTAAACTTTGAGTCTTTAAATGATATGAGGTTTATTTAGGCTGAGTGTCATCATGTGTTTCCTATGATGATTGGTTTCTGAGGCTAAATGTAACATTTGAAGCTAATGGCATTGTTGGAACTGTTTCATAACTAAGTTTAAAATTTGAATGTTATGACACTTTTTGGCGTGACTGTACTCATGCCATGGTTGTGAAGAATATAAAATGAGGGCTAACGATAAACTTTGAATGAAATGATGTTTATTTTGGCTGAGTGTTGTCATGTCTTGCCTGTGATGATTGGTTTCTGAGGCTAAGTGTAACCTTTCAACCTACTGGCAGTGATGAAACAATTTTCATGGCTAAGTTTAAACTTTGAAAGGTATGACTTTATGAGCCTGTGTGTGTAGCGTGTGGTGAAATTGTATTTCTGAGACTAAATGCTTATTATGTGCCATTTGGGTGGAGCCATTTGAACTTCATACACGTAATTACTAATTAAATTTAAAATGAATCAAAAAGATATAACACTCAAACAGAAAATACCTGGAATTGAAATGTTACATTCATTCCTAAATTAAGATAAGGTAAAGGACCGAATATTAAGCAATGTCTCCTCATATAGCTCCCTAGTCACCCAATGGTCCGAAGTAATAAACCTTGCCTCTGTAATGCATCCTTTCCCAAATGATTCAATTTGTAATAGTCCCCCCACACACTTGAGCACATCTTGCATCACACATTGATAGGTTAGAAAGACCTTCTCTTGGGTGTTGGCTGACAGTTCATTATAAGAATCTTCCACATTTCCAACTAATTCTATGAGTGAATTGCTATGCTTAGGGAATCAATGGCGCGAAAAAAACCGAGATCTAATACATTTAAATCAGGGCTGTTTGGTGGTTGGCATTGCAAAGATATATTCCAACCATCATCAGTTGCTTTTCTATGAAAATCTGCATCGCCAATGAGCATATGCGGCTTCACATTGTCTTGTTGAATGATAATGTTCCTATTATGCACATCTGGCCATTTTGCTTTAATTGCGGGCACTAAATTAGATAGAAACATTTCTTTCATAACTTCCCAGGTGATACTAGTAATTGGTTTAACTTCTAATGACCCTTTTGGCCTATTTCTACTTGACCGAATGGCAGCCTCGAGGTATGTGAAAGGCCAAATTCCTAGCTTTCCATCCCATAAGACCTCCTCTCCATCACCAAACTTAGGCCTACTCACAGCAACCAAAAACATTTTTTTTGGAATAAAATTCTTTGATTAAGCACTCCTGTATGGATCAGGTTTGTCGTTTGCCAAGTAGAATCTATAAGTCTGCTTAGTGGTGTTAAACCACTTCTCATCTATGTGAATGTACTCATACATGTGTGTAAAAGTTGGGCTCAATTGAATAGACTCCGGGTTTTGTAAACCCAAGCAATGTTGCAACCTTTTAAGTTTACCATTATCGGTCAATCGAGGTTTTAGAGCGTTGGTGTGTCTCCTAAGTTGTTTTTTCTGTAATAGTCTCCACATAGTCATGTGTGACACTCCCATCGCATAAGAAAGTGATCTAAGATTTTTTCTAAATTGAAGTGGTACGTCTTTAAGCTTTTCCAAATCAAGATGAATAACTTGTATGCTCGTCGACCTGCATAACTTCTGTCCACATTAACTACTTCCCCTTCCAATAGTTGTAGCTTTGCCTTCTTCCATATGGAGTACACTAATCTCCAACTTGTGTGGAAGATACACGCAGTTTCACTAAGAAATTTCTCACTTTGAAAACATTTTTTTCCTTTATTTTGGACTTAAACAAACTCAACTTTGTCCTTTTTGATAATGACATGTATTTTGTCCCCTAAAATGAAGTACAACAATTATAATAAAAACCATTAGATCAGTTAAATTTATCAAAAATATTTTGGCTGAATACCTCCTCATTATGGAAGACAATCTCCATTAGTTGCCCCCTTTGGATTGGGGAGGCATTTTGTAGGCTTAGAAGAGAACCTTCAAAGTCCGGGAGGACTTTGTGTGGTCAACATTCTTGATGAGTGATCATATTCTAGTTGTGTTTGGTGTCATTGTTTTGTGTTCGGGGATGTAGAATGTGGTGGTAAGCCAAGTAGGAGGGCCTATTTATAATGTATTGGGTGAGTGTCCATAAATTAGACTAATATCAAACACACAAAAGCCTACTTACTAATAGATGTATACCCTTCAATTTTGAAATCCTGATTGATCAATGCAGAAAAAAATGAATTGTTCGATGTAAAACCTCATTAAATGCTACGAATACTCAATCTCCGTAAGATTCGAGATGACAGTCATACACAAATTGTACTTAAATTGAACCATTTGTACTTTATTTATATTTTGTATCATGTTGAATAAGAAGTAGTTCGACCTACTTTGAAAAGGGTAACTGCATGGTAATGCATTGAATGCTTTAAAAAGTTTTGAAAAGACAGTTTTAAATAAAAGGTGACAGTTTTGAAATTGTACTTCAACAAAATGTTAGTCCTTTAACATTTTGTTAAAGGTGACAGACAGTTTTAAACAAAAGGTGACAGTTTTAAAAAGTTTATACTAATTAATTAAGAAAAATCAATATCACCAAAATTTGTAAATAGATGGAGTATTACCTGAACATCGATCATATATACTCCGTAGAAGCGACCACCATTTAAAAGAAACTTGTCAACGATCACTTTGGGATGAAGCTCTATTTCTATATCGTATTTCTAAC